TCAGGAAGGAGGCAGATCACGCAAGCCAAGCAAATCGTGAAATCAGGAGCACTGAATTGATGGTATCAGATGGTAAGTTTCCCCTTCTCAAACACGATGACTCTTTACCCCTTCCCTAACTTCCATCTCAACATATGTACTCACAGATCCACTATGTAAAAGAGCCTAGCAGAATGCAAGCAGGGCAAGCTGAGAACGCACACACACACATACACACACACACACAGGCAAACCTCAAGCGACCTTGAGCAGACTCCATCTTCCCCATTTATAAATAAAGATAATAAAACTTATCTTGCGGGCTTCTTTTGAAGATTAAATTAGATAAGTCATGTCAAGCAGCTGCCTCAGAGCAGATTTTCTAATGTTAGTTTCCCTTCTCCCCACTTCTCCTTGGGATGAGCCAATGTGCCTGCTCAGCGTTCTAAACCCTCTGACATGCCAGGCAAGGAAGGAGAATCATCGTTATTGCCTCAGTCAGAAGCAACAAGTACCTGGGGAGCAAAACATGACATGAAAAAGAGGGAGCACAAAATAAGTATTGAGCATTCTTAACTACTAATGCGTCTCTGCTAAGTCATTTCCACTGAAAATCATGTGTTAATTCGGCTGAAGCTACACATGAGGAGCTGGAGGGCAGAAGCTAACAAGGTGGCAGAGTTATGCTTTTATGTGGAAATTGGCTAAATAATGCCATGCTCTAGCCAGGAAGTATGTTTCCTCTGCACCCTATTTTAAACTGTTTTGGTGGTTTGCATCAGACCTAAGTAATATCCACACTGCTCTGCAGCAGACAGAGGCTGCTACAGGCCCACACTTCCCTTCGACCAACTCTGCTTCACCGCTTATAAACCAAAACATCAAGCCCTGATGAAAAAAGAAACTTAAAAGCTAAATTTAGATTTCAGCACTTCATTTTTAACGAAAGTCTCCTTTCGACAACCTTCTAGAGAAAAAAAAAGAGAGAGAGAGAACTCAGTATTTACTGGAAAATTTCTTTGGTGAAACCCTAAAGTTTTGGAATGGCTTAGAATGCCTTACACCAGTTCAAAATGTATAACTAAAGGGACTGGATGAGAACTTTCCATCATGTTTGTGAGAAACTGAAGCATCTTTTTCCATATCTCATCAGAATAATAAGACAAAAACCACCAATTCCATACTATAAAAACAGCCAAACTGCCCACTTATTTCAGAGCCAAAACTATTCCAACTAAAAGGAAGATTTTACCATTCAGAGCAAACTCCCAATAAACAGGGACTGCCTGGTTGTTAAAATGCTTGCCCCGGATTGTACCAGCAGCTCAGCTCAACATTTCCTGGGTGCTAGGTGATGTGTCAGGTCCTTCTGGGGACACTGGATGTGGAGAAATTAACAAGATACACCCCCTGCCTTTGAGAGGTTTGATTGGCAAGGGAGTTACATAAAGATATAATTTTGGCTATTGTTATGAGATAAGAGAGAGGTCTGTCCCCAGGAGGGCATGTTCAGCTCAACCCCGGGGCATTTAAACAGGTTTCCTTAAGCAGATGACACTTGAGTTAAGTCTGAAAGACAGGCAAAATTATTCGGGTAAGGAGTTCCAGACAGATAGCAGCTTGAACAAAGGCCCTAAAAGGCCTAAACTGCTCAGGGAATGTGTATGCAGGATGACAAGGATACAACTGGAAAGTGTGAGCCTTGGTGGGATGTGAAGTCTCAGAATCAAAAGGCAACCAGGTCATGGAGGACCTACTGAGGCCTGATTAAGGAGTTAATAATAATAATGAAAGCTGGTATTTACTGAGCACTTACGATGCTGCAGGCACTGTGTTAGGCACTTCAAAGCATTATTTCATTTAATCTTCACCATAACTCCGTAATCCCCATTTTACAAATGGGTTTGGGGGTTAGAGAAGGAAGGGGACTGTGTCCCCTTACACAGCCAGTAAATGGAAGGTGGGGCTGGAACCTAGGAGGCCTCCATTCCAAAGCTCGTATCTTGAAGCCTCTCCCCGAAAAGACTGGATGGGCACATTGGGTCCACCACACTGGCTACAGAATGGAGGACTCGGGTGGCCAAGTGGGGGCCTATAACATGGCCCTAGAAAAGAACAGATCAATGAAAAGAAAGAGGTTCAGAGGGACTGAGAAAAAAAAAAAAACGTTCAACTTGCATCCCTCCAAGTGCATTCAACAACCAAATGGCTTTTGAAAAAGGGGTCTAGAAAATAAACCACCAGTATTCATTAATGCTTTCAAGTACACAGGGTTAAACTGTATGTCCTTGCCTTTGCCTTTAACACCCTCCCATACGTTAAACTGTCTTATTCACTCATTCTCCAGGTCCGAGCCTCCTGCCTGGTACAAGGAGATGCTCTATAAATACACTGAAAAGGACAAATGAGTAATGGCCGCTTTTTACAATGGCACCAATGAGATGTCATTCTCAATTGGAAAAAGGGGTTAAAAAATAAAGAAAAATTTTTAAAGTTGTGTTGATAACTAAGGACTGGCAAACTAAAATGGAAACCATGTAGCAGTTAAGGTAGCTACACAGACAATAATGAGGACTCATCACCATGGGGTGCTACCTTGAAAAAAGGCAATAAATACAAAATAGGATGAGAATTTTGTATAGACCATAACTGGTGAAAAATAAGATGTTATTAAAGGAAGTGGCCGAGAGGGTAAAAATGTGTTTTCTGAAAAGCAACAGACCAAAGATCAAATTCTGGGCCTAGTGATCTCTAGTCTCCGACCTTGACAAAAATAAGTACATCATTAACATGATTTTAGGTAAGAAGTATATCTGTATGACACTTTTACCAACACTGAGTCCTCAACAGAAATCTCTTGTTAGGTATTTGAAAAGTAACAGTCACATTTTTCAGATCTGAAGAGTTTTCTGACATTTAAGATTTCCCCCTAAAGAGTAATTAATTTGGGGCATTTAGGAAGGGTGGATCTACAAAACCTTCTTAGTGAAGTTTGTTCTTATACTGAAATCCTTTGCCCGCTTATCAATCTACTGAACAGAAGATGGACTTTTTTAGGTGGCCTAATAGGACACTGTTAGCCATCTCATTTCCTCATATCTTATCACACAGTAAGGTATTTTGAAAAATGTCTTGATGGTTTACCAGTTATTTTAGAAAAATCCTGAAACCGCTTACTTACATGGAAAATTAAAATGGAAATGGAAGTAGGTTTCTCGTTTTCATTATAGCTAACTTCAACCTTCCAGGGTCTTTGAAAATTTAATTTCAAATGAATGCAAATTCCAAAATGATTCCTTAGTTCAAATTTGGAAACTTTAATTCCGTCAAAATATGAAATCTGTGGGTTTTTAAAAACTGTTCAAAAGCCCAAATAAAAAGCCACTAGGCTTTTAAGTTAATTGTTTAGAAATGTGTATATAGATGAAATGAAACTGACTCATGAACTACTGAGTCTGGAATTTGAAAATGCATAAATCTTATCCTTGTAAACAAAATCTAACGAAATCAGGGTGTGCTGATTTCCTTCTTTCGTAACCTGAAACAAAAGTTTTAATGATTTTTAACATGCGCAGAAAATTAAGGATGCCATTTAAAATCTTTATTAGCAACATATAACTCAGTTTTTAAGTGTCTGGGAGTATAATCAGAGACACTTGAACATGCTGGTACTGCAACGTAGGAAAACATCCAAAAATGAGACACTAGGACTTTATTAAACTCAAATCTGGGTTAGGATTTTTTGTTTACAACAGTGCTTCTTCCTCATTCCATTCAAAACTCCCATCTCCGTGCCACCTTCAATAAGAAATACCATTTTAAAAAGTTCTCAATCCACTTCAAATACTCTGAAACGTACCATTTAGAACCTGGTGCTTATTTCTTCTAGACAAACCTAAAGGTAAGTCTGCCGCTGGCCCTTGGTAAATAAAGCGAGTGCCTCAGGGTGATGTGGGCTATCAGGGCATCTCCAAGTCACCAATGGGGGAAGAGAGCGACAAGATGTCACAGATGAAGGGGATGTAAGTTATCCAAATCTAAACATTTTACAGATGAGGAAGCTGAGGCCCTCAAGGTCCAAGTACTCAGTTCACCCAGACCTCAGCTGCAGATACGCAGTTATGTGGATCACTGCTGCCAAAAAATTGTAACTTTTAAGGTCTCCGGGGTTCGGTACTTTCCATAACAAATAATTAAGAACTCAATTCCTGCATTTTTCACCTCCGAAAACGTCCCCGAGTGGGGAGCTCAGGGACAGTTAACGCATTTAACTTTTCCGTTTCCCTCAAAGGACACTTGCAGAGAACCATCACCTCCGGGAAGGCAGGGCTATCTCGCTCCAGGCAACATCTCCAGCACCCAGCACCTAGCACCTAGTAGGCACCGAGTTAATAATTCCCCGCCTGCCACCTGACAATCCCCGCTCCCTACCCCACCCACGCCCAACCATCGGTGGAGCCAGATAACTTTCTTTTGGAAATTGCCTGGTTCCTTGAAACTTTCATACGGTGACTCCCGGCCAAGAAGCCGGCCTGAGGGAACGTGCGGCGCCTTCCGGGAGCCAAGGCTGGAATCACTGGCCACTGAAGGGGGTGGCTGGCCGAGACCTGGGTGGGCACGCAGCATCGCCCCGGGCCGCGGCGACCCCAGGTGCGCCAGCTGCTTTGGCGGCCTCGGCGGCCTCCGCTCCGGGCCGCGGCTCCACAGCCTCCTTCAGATGCCCAAGCAACTTCTCAAACTTCCCTTTCCGGGGGTGGGGGCTCGCCTCGAACGCGGCCGGCACAACGCCTTTCCTGCCCGCACAAAGGGGGCCCGACGTGCCCCGCGCCCCCTCCCCTTTAACTTTCCTCCTCTTTTGAAAGAGAAACTCACACCCCGGCGCCTCGGGGAGCCGGACTGCGTGGGTGCCGCCGAGGGAACTTTCCCGTTTCCGCCCGAGCGCCGGGGGAGCGCCGGGGGCCGACTGTCAAGCGCAGCGGGGACCCCCGGCGCCCCGCCAAGCCCGCCTGGGGGCCACTCACCCGACTTCTGAACTTGCGGCGGGATCGTGCTGGCGATGCGCGTCCACAGGACGATGTGCAGCGGCCACAGGCCCCTGAGCAGCCCCCGACCCATGGCAGCCCCCGCCGCTCGTCATAGACCGAGCCCCGAGCGCAGCGGACGGCGCCTCCCGGAGCCCCGGCTGCGCCTCCGCGCCGCGCCCTCTCGGGACCCCGCGCCGGCCGGCCGGGCAGATGCGCGGGCCAGATGTGGCGCCGCTCGCCAGCCGGGAGGGGGCCTAGAGGCCGGCGGGGCGCGGGGAGGCCCCCGGCGGCCGAGGGGAGCTGCGCAGGAGGCCGGCTCCTGCCCCTGGCGAGCGCGCGCGCGGGGGTGTCTTCGGTCGGTGCGCGCGAGTGACTCACTCAACTTCACCCGGGCGCCGCGGGGGAAACAGGAAACTCCTCGCCAACAGCTGGGCAGGACCTCTCGCCGCCCGAGAGCCTTCTCCCTCCACTCGGCTTCCAGCCCTCCTCTCTCTCCTGACTGCCAATCATGTCCCCGAGACCGGCCCCTCCGAGGGCTTTGGCAAACTTTCAGCTGCCCCCACCGCCCTCAGGAGTTCCTGGCTCCAAGTATTTACCCCGGCGTGACTGAGGGCACGCGTTTCAGAAGGGAGCTGAACACACACAGTGTATACGCTTCCCAGAGCACCCCCACGGAGCATCTTCCGCCTCCCATAACCTTCTTTGCATTGTTCCCAGGTGCTCCCGAATTGTGTTTTCCAACTCCCAAGTGCCTGAGCCCACGGGGGGGGGGGGGGGGGGTGATGCTGAAAGCGGAGCTGTGAGCACATTTTTGTTTCAAATCGAATAGTAAGTAGTGCCTCACTCAACTTCGGTTTCGGTTACATAGACACACACCGCCACATTGCAAAATGTTTTGCTTACTGAAGGTCCAAGTCCGGAAGTTTTTTTTTCCCCAAACTGTACTGTGCGTATGGACCACCTGAGTATCTTGTGAAAAGGCGGGTTCTGATGCAGGACGTCCAAGCTGCGGCATTTGTGATGAGAGCTCTTGAGTGCTGCCTCCTATTTTGAATTGGCCCTTCTTGGGGGTGCTTCAGTAAGTGGAAATGAGCAGCCGCCACAGAATGATAGTGGTGGGATATTTTATGTTGAGAATGTAGCGAGTATGGCAGAAAATGTCAATAGAAAAGTGGCCTGGGAGTCAGCTCAGTGCCAGGGGTTTGCATTCCAATACTGCCTGTGAAGAGAGACAGTCCTTAGCTTCTCCTCTGTGGAAAGGGAAACAAGGGCAGCACGGCAGGATACACTTTCAACCCTCCCTTCTTGCTGGGGTGACCAAGTTTGCCCTCAAAGATCCTGGTGTACACCTTTGCGGTTTAATCATTAAAGAACCCCCTTTTTGTTTCCCATGCTTCTTGGTTGGGTAAGGAATTATACGCTCATCTTACTTCCAACTCTCAAAGACTTAGATTCTGTCTAGTTTGCTGGCCAGGAGATCTTCCAGCAAGTTACACAATGAACTTCCTTTATCTGAGATGAGAGATTATTTGCAGAGGCAGGTGGCCAGGCTCACCGGGAAGAAAAGCAAATAGCTCTCCCTGGAAACCCAACTGGAGAAAACTTCCCTGTCAATCTAAAGGTTCATTTGCTTGATCCCGAAACTTTAAGTCTCCTCACCACTGGTCCCCCCAACATTGAGGCTGCCTCTGAATGTTTCTTAGGAAAAGACTGCTTCCCAGCTCTTGTGTTCAGGATGCCAGAAGGACAGGGACATCAGGAGCTCTGGGCATCTTCTTGCTTACCAAATAGCCTTGCCAAAGCGGGGGCCACTTTAGCCATGGAGGAGAGTTGTGTTCAAAATCTGCTTCTTGCCATTTCCTCCATTGCCACCCCACCTGTACCACTGCCATCCCTAGGACGGGGGTCTCCCAACCACCCATCCCCAGTCAGGGCCATTCTGGGCCCTGTCACACAATTTCTCAACTCAGAGCCATTTTTCAGAATGTAAACCTAATTATACCAGCCCTCTGATTAAATTCATTCAATGGCTTCCCACTGCTCTTGAGATAGAGGTTAGAAACCAAATCCTTCAATGCCCTTCCTCTCTGGTAACCTTTCATTGGGCCTCTCTTCCTCTCCTGCTGGGAGCCTTCTCGAAATGCATAGAGCATACCCACTATTCCTCCTGCCCAGAGCCTTCCCCAGGGCACCCTTCCCTTTCTCTGTTCTTCTTTTGCTCTTCATCCAGCCAACCCCTGGTCTTGCTTGGATCAATCCTAACTTCCTGGATGGGCAAGCTTTCCCTGACCTCCCTGAATAGATCTTTCATTATAGGTTCACTTGGCACCTTATGTTCCTCATTTTTAGCACTTACTACAGCTGTGGTTTTATGATGATTCTGTGTCATTCTTTCACTTCTATTCCTCTCCCCCCCTCAAGTCCAGAGTTTCTGAGGACAGGGATTAAATTTGTTCCCCTCCACTCACTGTTGTACCTTTAGTACCTAGCACATAATAGGTGTTTAAAAAATACCTGTTGGATGAAGGAAAGAATGAGGTAATAAAGATTCAGAAGAAAATTGGACTTCATCTTCCTCGCTATTTCACAACTCTGGAGAAGGCATTCTATTACCTACTAAATTGAGATGTAAACAGGCTAGATTTTAGCTGAGGGTGATGTCACTATTACTTCCTTTTCTTTAAAAAGGAGAAGTGTGTGGGTTTTTTTCTTTTTTCTTTTTTTCTAAATTTGCCCAAGTTCCTCTGGGCAGTATACATATACTTCCTTACTCACCAAAACACACGAAGAGGCAAATAAAAATGCCCAAGGGATTCCAAAGGCTTTCTTTTCTATACTTATTGCAAAGACAGATGTTTTTCACTGTTAGAGGCCAGGTTTGAGATATTCAGTTCCATGGTGGAGTATTTAACTGGTGGTCTTTGTCATCATGTATCATGAATGTTGATTTTAATTTTGTTTGCCTTTCACATTTCTGATTTAATCCCCAATCTCCTGTGAAATTGAGAGTCTGAAGTCAGCACTGCCAAGTGCAAACTCATCCTTTAGAAGCCGTCACAATGAAATCAGAGACGTGTAAACTCACACATATTGCAATTTGGCGATCTTAAAAATTTGTCAATATGACCTTTCTTTAGGGATTCTTGCTGAAAGAGAAGTCTGATACTCTCCATTAAAACATTGTTTTCACACAGAGTTGTATATTTGATTCAGTATAATTTTCAGCTAAGATACATATGCAAAAATTGGGCCATTTGCAGATAGAAACAAAAATTAAAAGCTCAACTCAGGACTTAAAAAAAAAAAGAGAGAGTAATTTTTAGGCCTTTACCAAGTTGAAAAACAATAAAAACCAAGTCGAACCGAAGTTAAACAGCTTGAATGTCTCCATATTTCCAGTTTTACGAACTCTGAACACACACACACACACACACACGCACGCACGCACACACAGAACAATTGGACTGAATCAAAATGTAGTTAATTTAAGCCCTGCATTTTCCAGTTGTGATGAGGCAAGAACTTTCTACTCCCCTGAACTTCTTGACATGCAGCTGTTGAGGTTACTCACAACCAAAGCAGTTGACAGGGAGACTCCTCTCCATATAAATCAAGCATTCTGCATTCTCAGCTCTTAGCTCTTGACCAATTTTCCTTCTATTGTGAAGCAGACCGATGAACACTGAGACAATAGTGAATGTGTGAGGGTCACCCCCAACCCCCTCAGAGTCATACACAGGTTAGCTCCTCCAGGAAATAGTTTGTGATTCCTCCAACTTAAACTGATCCCTCCTCTCCCAAGGAGAACCCGAGGAGCATTTAGTTTATTTAACCTAGTTTTTAATGTTTATCCCATTCTGACATGAGGTGCATTATAATTATTCATTAGTTTCTGGAATCCTACCCCACCAACTGTAAGGTCCTTAGAAGCATAGATTATTCCTTTTTCAATTTTGAACTACATTGGCACCCAACTGTACTCAATGTATGTTTCTTGTCTTCGATAAAGGGAAAAAAATGAGAGTATCTGTGTTTCTAATCCATCCCCTTGCTTGCAATTCTTCACAGATATTAATAAAACCTGCAATTATACCACAGGTTTAGAGAAATCATGGATAGTTTCTTTTGGAGAAAACATAGCTTTGTTTTAAATTACAAAAGTAATATATGGTAACTGCAGGTAGAAAAAAATCTGAAATACAGATAAGCCAAAGGCAGAAAATAAAGATCCTTCACTCTCTCACCCAAAGATAATCACTTGTTAACATTTGGGAGCACGTCCTTGCTGTACTATTCTAAGCTTCACTTTACGGGTGAAGAAACTGAGGATTACAAAGATTAAGTAGTTGGCAAAGGTCACATAGTTAGTGAGGGACAGAGCCCAGGTTTAAACAGAGGCCTGTCACTAGCTCCAGAGTCTGCACTCTATAGAGTAAGTTAATCAAGGGGTTGATCCTAACCACCTGACCAGCCTGATCACCACAGTATTTTGGGTGACTAAAGGTTGATTAGAGCCACCCTTTACTATCACTACTTCCTCATCTCTTATTCATTAATCAACCCATGGCAGTCACTTCTTCATTGGAAAGTTCTTTAGCTTAGCTCACATCTTGTCTTCAACTTGTACAACCGGTGGGCACGTTCCAGTCAGTGGCTTACCTGCCCTCTTTCTGTATTGCCTTGGATACTACTAGCATGCTTACCTCTCTTCCTTGGCATTCTCTCTTCTTCGACTTCCCTGTTGCTTTTGCCTTCCTATGTTATGGACTGAATAATACCCCCCACCAAATTCATATGTTGAAACCCTAACCTACAATATGACTCTATTTGAAGATGGGAATTTTAAAGAAGTAATGAATGTTAAATGAGCTCAGAAGGTTAGGGCCCCAACCCAATGTGACTAATATCATCACAAGAAGAGAAAAGGATACCAAGGAAGCAGATGTTACACACAGAGAACAGGCCATGTGAGGACACAGTGGAAGGCAGCCATCTGCAAGCCAAGAAGAGAGGCCTCAGGAGAAACCAAACCACCAACACCTTGATCTTGAACTTCCAGCCTCCAGAACTGTGAGAAATAAATTTCTGTTGTTTAAGCCACCCAGTCTGTGGTATTTTGTTATGGCAGCGCTAGGAGACTAGTACACCCCATTTCCTGCTTGCTTGTCCAGCTGTTCCTTCTCAATATCTCAACAGGTTTATTTTCCTCCACTCACTGGTTAGACGCTAGTCCTTACCAATTCTGCTCTCTTCCCCTCTCATTCTTCCTGGGAGCACATCTATTTCTATGGCTGCGCTGATACATGATGATCTCCAAATCTAATTATCAAGCTCTAATTACTTACCAAGGTTACCATTAT